CTCTTTTGGAAGACCAAACAAAGTAGTTTCGCTTTCACAACGAAGCACACAGCGCATTCACGACATGGCGGCAGCGGCAACAATACTACAGCGAGAATAAAAGTTACGCCTTCTTTCTTCCCAGATAGTGACGTAGACATGTGGGGGCGTGTTAGAACGCGCCGTTTTAGGTAGGCGTGGCTGACTCTTAACTTTTATAAAGAATATCTCTTTGGATTTGAGACTTTAGTCTTTGCAACTTTACAGATCTTCTTTATGCACCAAGAGCTTGTAGCACTCCAAAGAGAAAGGGACAACTGAAATCGCATCATATGACCCCTTTAAACACCAGCAAATATATCTAATAAGTGCAAATTGAGTTACCTAAATTATTGAAATAGGGGCTCTTTGCAGCATCCTGGAGCTAGGAAGCCCGCTAAATGATGGGCAACACATCATCAAAGACACGCATTTAACACCAAACAGAGAAAAGAGGCAGGGAAATCACAAACAGCCCCTTCGCTTCAACTAGACCCCTTTAACGCCCTTTAGATTTTAATTAGAACATTATTTTGCATGTTTTGATGTTATGTAGATGTTTCCTTGTGACTGCTTTCCACAGTGAATGCTATGGTGATTTCAGGATACACTATGTCTGTCATAAGTTAACTTTAAAAACCTTTTAATCAAAGACTTATGGTTTAAATTCTTAATGTCTATTAATACAAACGCTATTTACTGGATTCTTTGTGTTTATTAGTTTTAAGTTGTAGGCTATCCACCTTCTTTTGTAGGCTAACGCAGAAGCTACCTATTTTTTTGTGCGTGCGAGACTTTCGACTCATTAACGGCTGGAAGTAAATAACTAAGATAAGCAGTAAAGGGTAAAACTGTTTGCGCTGAAAACCGGTGTGTTTATGATAATGATAATAGATTCAAATAATATGATCATAAAATGCTAGTTTACAATATAAAGTAGCTGTTGTTGTACAGGAAAAGTAACTGGAGCACCGGAAGCCTTGCACAGTGAGTACAAATGGCAGACAAATAAATAAATAAAGACGCATACCATCTTTAGAAAGTTACATATTTGTGTGTTAACAAACAGCTCCCAGAGAGCGATTGGAGCAGCTCTCCTTCAGCTGGTGCGCGCAGCGGGTGATTTACGCGTCTCCCTCGTGCGGGACGGTGACGCAGGGCCCGGGTCACACCGCACATGAGTCAGAAGTGACTGGGAAAGATCTCAGCGACAGTATACAGGAGAGAGTCCCCTGATTCTGTGAGTTTCTAGCTGTTATATTATATATGCATGGATAGTTAATAATTAACAATATAATTATATAATGTAATGTTTGTGTTTACATTGTAAAAAAAAAGTATTTTGAAAGCATTTTTCTAGTATTACTACCACCAGTAGTAGGCTATAGTATTACTGCACCATGGTATTGCTACAGTATTTTCTTTGTAAGGGATTGTGTCCACAATAAAATTGTTTAACAGTACCATAGTACAGTAATGGTAATACTATGGTACTTTCCTATACAATATGGTAATGAG